GTCCCCCATTCATAATCCTGGGTTATTATTATAATCATAAATCCTGAATAAGACCATTTGTTGAACGTTTGTGGTCATAATGGTAAATATTTATGTTAAAATCCAGAATGTATGTGAGCAGAAATCACAGAAGTCTCATTCTGGCTTAATGAACAGCTCACTGTCTGGAAACTTGCCCTCACAGCCTATATAACCACATATTTATGACTACAGGCCAATGAATGAATGAATGAATGAAAGAAATCTGCTGGTTGTTTTGAGCAACAGTAAAATCCAATCAGCCTTAACTGTGTCAGCCTTTCAGAGCCAAACAAACCCTCTCTGTGTGCCAGCGCTCTACCTGTGGACGGTGTTGTAAAGCTCGCACACATTAACAGCCTTTATGGAGCGTTGAGAAAGTTCCTTAACAACCAGTATATTCAACAGGAAGACACGCCCTCGGAGCGTTTGAGACAGAGGCAGCCTGTCTCTGAGTCCCTTTCAGACCCGAGTCCTCTCCAGTGCAGAGAAGCTACCTGCCGATTATTATCAGTGAGGATAGAAAGAAGACGATTCCGATAAGGGAAAGAAAGGAGGAAGAGCGTCATGGCTGAACACAAACAATAACAGTGTGGAAGAGAAAAGGGCGCTCCTGTTTCTGGATGATCTCAGCCTTTTAGAAAAAAGGGAAATAAAGATGAAGTCACATCAGATTCCTGACATGCAGGGATGTCATGATTGTAGTGTAATGCTGGCAGCTGGGGTGGTGCTCTGATAAAGAGGGGCCCGATCTCCAGCAGGAAAAAACGGCTCCTCACCGTCGATTTCACAACATCTTCCTCCTTTCTTTCTGTTTTGTTTATCCTGCTAATGGCGTTCCGTTATCGCCGATTGTTCTGCTTGTTTATAGCTTTATAATCCTGTTACCTCATTTTATCTATTGCTGTTATATTATTATGATCAGATTCTATCTTCATAACCCGAAGCCTGGTCTAAAGGGGTGTTTTGTTGTTTATTTTTCACGTGTTTTGTTTTCGTTTTTCAGCTTTTGACTCATTTTCTTCCTTTAATTCATCTTTTGAATTGTAGTTCAATATATAAATATGTTGGTGGTGATTTTAGGAACTTTTTATGGATTCACTGTTTCTGTTCTTCAAGAGTCCTTCATTGTTTCTAACATTTGTCTCAAACTTGAAACCTGTTGTGTTGAAAACAGCTGCTTCCACATCTGCTCATAATTTGTTCTTTTGCATGGATGAAATTTTGATTTTAGAAGTGGAGGGGATGCCAGTATTTTGTAATATAACAGAGTTCAGCGTGTTTTCTAGTTGTTATTCTGTGTTTGTTTCCTCCACTTTCTCTTACATCTCTGCTTTCGCTCTCCTGACAAAATATTGGATGCATGACCTGAACAATTGGACAATTTGTGGTGCAACAATCCATGTAGATTAAAAACACATAGTTTTACAATTATTATGAGCATAGATATATAAAATCACATTTATAGATT